ATAACGAGGTGAGATGAATCATCAAATCAGAGAGATGAGGCAAATTTCCCAAGGCCACGTAGCTAATGATGATGGTGATGATATAGTTGACATTTAAACACCGATTATGCACCAGGCACTGTTCTAAACACTTCACATACATTAACTCATTTCATCTAAACAACCACTTCTGAGTAAGTACTACTTTTATCCCCATTTTACAGATGAGAACTCCAAAACACAAAAAGGTTAAATAACGTGACTAAAGACACATGCTATTAAGTGACAGATTTAGGACTTGAATCGAGATGGTTTAGACCAGAGTTTAGCAAACTTTTTCTATAAAGGGCCTTGTACTAAATATCTAAGGCTTTATCAACAGTTTCAGTACAAATATTCAACTCTGCCACAGTAGTGCAGAAGCGTCCATAGACTGTGTAAACAAATGAGCATGGCTGTGTTCCAATAAAACTTTATTTATTTGAGAATTCTCTGGCCTTTCGATGTGGTATAGTATACAGTTCATTCAATGGTGTTGCAGCATTATTTCTTGAAGACATATTGTACACCAGGCACCATTTTAAGTTCTTGAAATACACCAATGAAAAACATAGACAACACCTGCCTTTGTATGAGCTTATCTTCCAGCAGGATTGGGTGGGGAAGCCAATAAATAATACACATAATAACAGCTGAATTATATAATACACTTAAAAATGGTGAGTGCTGTGGAAAGAAATGGAGCATGGTAAGGGGAATGTGGGAGCAGGAGAGAAGCACAGGATGGTGAGTGTAGGTCTCACTGAGAAGGGGACATTTTAGCAAAGACTTTAAGGAGGTAAGGGAGTGAGCCATGCTGATATCTTGGAGAAGAGCTTTCCAGGCAGAGAGAACAGCCAGTGGAAAGCCCTTGAGGAAGGAGTAGGACTGGCTTATTTAAGAAAGAGCAAGAGGTCTGTGTGGCTTGAGTGTACTGCATGGTGTGGTGAAAGGATGAGGTTAAGTTAATGAAAGCCTGATTTTTTGGGGCCTTGGAAGCATGGTGAAGACTTGCCTTTTACTCTCAGAGACGTGGAGAATAGAACTGTGACAATGATCTGACTCAGATTGTAAAAAGACCGCTCTGACACCATGTTGTATCTTGGGGTCAATAGCTTTAGACTCAGGTTTCCTGGATTTGGTTCTGACTCTAATACTAATTACTGGTCCAATATCAGGCAACATAATTAATCTTTCCATGTGTGGTTTCCACCTCCATAAAACAGAGATAATAATAGTATTTACCATGTAGGGCAGTAATGAGCACAAAATGAGCAAATTTAGGGAAACCACTAAATGTAGTTCTAGGGGCATAGGAACATCAAATGAATACCGGTTATTTTCATCATTGTTAAATTTATTTTCCTAATAAAAAATTACTGTTTTACTGTAATAAACTGTGAATGTGTGCTCACATACTGACACAGGTGTGTACACTTGTTCTGTTTGAGTTCCCATCTCTACAGCAGGCAGACGAGCCACTCCCACCTCCAGGGCACTGCCACTCTCACAGGGTGGTGAGAAGTCACCATGGGGAACATGACCTCTCTGCAGACTGGGACAGCTTCTGGGGCACCTACTTTGTCATATAAAGTGCATGAAGAATTGAGATGTTTCCTAAGAAGGAAGTGTACCCACTGAAGACTGTGGAGAATGAAAAAACCAACAGGAGTAGAAACTGCCAGTGGTGATGACAAGGCGTATTAGTTACCTATTGCTGTGCATCAAATTTTTCCCAAGCTTAGCAGCTTAAAACAACAGACATTTATTATTTCACACAAGTTCTCAGAATCAGGAATCAGAAGAGTGGCATTAGTTAGGTGGTCTGGCTTGGGGTTTCTAGTGAAGTTGCAATCAAGAGGTCAGCCAGCGCTGCATCATCTGAAGGCTTGAATGGGGCTGGAGGGTCTGTTTCTAAGATTGTTCACTCACATAGCTGTTGGCAGGAGGTCTCAGTTCCTTACCCCATGGGCCTCTCCACAGACTTCTTGAGTGTCCTTATGACATGGCAGCTGGCTTCCCCAGGGGAAGTGAACAAAGACCAAGGAGGAAGCCACCATGGCTTTTATGATCTAGCCTCAGAAGTGGCACTATCACTTCCACCATGTAGCTTTTTCTTTAAAAGTAAGTCACTAAGTCCAGCCCACTCCCAAAGGAAGGAGAATTAAGCTCCACTTCTTAAAGGATAAAGTATCAGAAAACTTGTATACTTATTTTAAAACGACCACACATGGCGTGCGAGTTTGGGGCAAAATAACATTGTCTTGGGTGACACCAGTCTAATTTTCAAGAAGTCCAAAACATGACTCATACAAACACATAGCAAGCATGTGTCAAAGATTTATCATTGTTAATAAATGAAGGGACCAGCAGGATTATAAAACTGGTTCAAAAGATAAGTCAAGGAACAGAAGATCATATAATCAGTCAGGAAGGAAATGGTGGAATAGGTTGGCTAACTTAGATTTTTAAAAAGTTGTTTAGTGAATTGTAAGCCAATAAAACTGCATCCTTTAGGGCTATCTTTTCTATCAAGCAGAAATAATTTGCAATTTATCAACCTCTTAGTTCACAGAGTCTGGTATGTAATCCATAGTAATTAAGTCAAACAAAAGTATACATTCCCTCGAGAACTGAGTAATTGTTGGTGGGGCCTGTTTGGTGATGCTCCAATATGACATTGAAAGCACATGCAGTCATCATTTTGTCTTATTTTCAAGACAAGAACTTTCGTAACAGGGGTTTGTTTTATTTTTCTCACCTTCACCTTCTTAGCTCATTCATGCGTCGCTCCATCCATTCATTCTGCGTCCATCCCCTTTAAAGCACATTGCAGAGTGGGCAAAGCTGGCAGAGACTTTCCCTGGATCCTCAGCAGGCTTGCCCCATATCAGGAGGTGGCCATGTACGGGCATCATTCTTCGTTTGTCGCAATGAGGGAAGAGCTTTATGAAGCCCCACGGCAGTGTCCTGTAGGCACATGGGTGCAATTACCTGGGGTCTGGGGAATCGGAGAAGGCAGCCTGGGCAGATGGCATTTTACCCGTTTAGGTGAAACAGTCTCTACTTCTCTGTAAACACTTTGCAAGTGAAAGCCTTTTTAGCTTAAAACCACTTTGCCTGTGGGCCAGCTCCTTCCGGAGTTTCTTTTTTGTTTTGCTCTTTTTTGCAACTAATTCAGCGTCATTTCTATTTGCTTAATTTATGGTCAATTTAATAAATTTGCATAAGGTGGCTTCTACATTTTTTATTTTTCTAAAGGTATTTGTCACATTAGTGGCATTAGGTGAGTGGTGGGTTATTTCCTTTGAACAAGTTGGTATTTTATTTCTTCTTGAACGCTTTAAGGACTTTTTAGCCCGTAAGCCTGAACACAATTCTTTAAAATTTATGCCTTAACAATACACGGTTTTTAACAGTACTCAAGAGATAATTAAATTGTTTGTTATTATTCACTGACCCTTACCTTTAACTCAGATCCATCACAGAGAGTGTGTGGAGCTATTAAACTGCAGGAACTGCTACACAATCACGTATTATTTTACCAGTGAGGTACTGAAGAAAGATCATTCACGGACGGCAGGAGCTAGATTCTATTTCCTGAGGAAATAATCAGACACATGAGCAAAGAAGTTGATACAAAGACATCTTCATGATCACGATCATAAAGATCATGATCACAAGATTTTCTATAGTAAATAATAATAATATAAAGGACTAATAATAATTGATTCCTATAAATAAATGATGTTGCATCTATACAATGAAATACTATACGGTGTTGATGAAAATAATCCATAACCAATCTATAAATGAAAATTTGGGTGAGTTTATTCTGAGCTTAAATCTGAGGATTATAACCCGGGAGAGTTTTTCCACAAAGGAACAGAGCACTCCAAAGAAGTGGGGGTATACAGGGTGGTTATATACCCTCAAAGAGTATGTTTCACATCTGATTGAAATGTCCCTTTTACAATAATCACGAGGCTGCTCTGTCAGCACAGCGATTGATGGAAACAGCCGATAGGCCTGCTGTCTCGGTGAACCCGCAGGCTGGCAGGTCTGTTGCCTCGAGCTGGGCGGTCACAGATGAGCGCTGCAATCAGTTCCCACCCTAAAGAAAGATGCTTAATCTTTAAGGAGATGCCAATGTTGGGAGGGGGAGGGAAGTTGCACCTTTATCTCAAAATGTCTAAGCAGATATACAATGCATGCTCAATGGCCACAGTCAGGCCTTTTTGGAAAAAAAAGTCAGGCTGAATTAGGTTTATACCAAATGGCTTCCTCATATACTCCAATATATCCTATTGCTTGCCATTTTTATTTGTCAACGGCTATTCAATGTTATGATGTCATTATTCATATCTGGTATGGAAAGATATGCTGCTACTTTGCTATGAAACAAGCAGGTTGAAAAGAGTGTGGGTTCTATGATGCAGTTGTGTGAAAAGCTGTCAACAGTGACATGTATGCATGTGCAGACGAAAAAGTGTTTTCATTGGTTTTCTGATGGCGCACTCGCAGAAGACAAGTATTCACGTTTTTCTTTTTTGCCAATCTGGATTTTCAAGTTTTTCGACAATGAATATAGAGACTAAACATCCCTTAAGCAGGAGAGCCCTCCCTCCAGCATCTTCCATAGGCCTGGCAAAGGCAGGCAGGAAGGAAATAAGGAAGGAAAGAGAGTTGTTCTAAAATCTGCTTTCTTTGAGCTGCTGTCTGCCCTGACGCCTTTGGATCTGGAAGGACCTGGAGGAGCCGAGTGCTCTCGAGGAACTGGAAAGCCCCTAGGAAGTTCCTCAGAACTGCCAGAAGAAGACGGTGTCCAGAACCTTCCTTCCCTGGGAGAGATAATGAGCAGCAGGTGTTTCTGGAGGCTCAGGGTGGTGTGAAATCTCTCTGGGAAACCCTGTTCCTCCACAGGTTGTGGCAGTTTCAGGAGCCCCTCCCTTGTGCTTTAATAAAAGGCATCCTTGCAGGAGCAGGCAGACACCACGGCTCCGCCAGGAGAAAGGAGGAGCTGAGGTGGCCTTTGGGGAGCTGGGCTTCATCCTCCCCTGCAGGACTGCGACTCTATCCTGACCCCAGACCTAGAATCCCCTGATCTGTGGGGGCTGTTCCCACGCCAGGGGTGGGGGAGGGGGGCAGGGGGGAGGGAGGCAGTCAGGAGGCTGCTTGCCACCCTGCTCCCACCAGCTCAGTCTCCACCTAAGATTTTCTGTTTTTTTAAAAATAGGAGTCTACACACTGTGAAGCGCAAGATGGTTCTGAGTGGAGCGCTGTGCTTCCGGTGAGTATCCGAGCGTCTTGATTCGGCCGTGTCACCGGGGAGAAGTGGTTCCAGGTAGACCTGTTGCCCAGCCTTTCCAGGGAGGCAAGGGGAGTGATTGCCCCAAGCTGGGGCTCTCCCAGGTGTGTGGGCAGCTGGGAAGTTGAGAAGAGCTCCTCACTGCCCTGAGAAAAGTTCTTGCAGCCTCCTTCAGATGGGGCAGGCTTCTTCATGGGCGTTCCCTGAGGGGAAGGGGGCCGAGTGAGTCACCCCGTGTAGAGCCGCAGCCTCCTCTATTCAAATGAGAGTGAAAGTCAGGAGCCTCGAGCCCTGCTGTTGCCACCCACTGCAGTGAAGTGGTGTCAGTCCGGCCACTCTGTTCCTCCTTGCTGCCCTTTGGGACTAAACCACCACAGAACTGTTCAGTCAATGAGTCTGTCTGTCCACTGGCCTGTACTGAGCCTGGCATTCTGCTATGCTCTGGACTTGGCAACAGTGAGTGAGACTGGTCCTGGCTCTCACTGAACTCAGAGTCTAGGAGAGCTTTTCCCAATGTGGGTTCTGTGGAACCCCAATCCTATGCATTGCTGTATACAGTGGCGCTCCTTGATTAAGTAAATGTGGGAAACACTGCTGTCTATGTCTCCTTAAGGGAGAAGCATAGTGCAATTCAGCATATTAGTAACTTTGAAGTAGAGATTTAGTTGTGTTTAGCCGACATTGGATCAATTTGTACACAGCGTGCTTTTTTCCATCTGACATCTGGAGAAACCCACTTTAGGATACATCTTTCACCATTTTCACAGGATGTCAGAAAATCAACTGAGACCATAGATGCAAAATACATTTGAAAAGTTAAATTAAAGAATTTTAAATGTAAAGAAATTCCTCACTTGGTGGGGAATATATGGCCAAGTGGAAGTAAATGCATCTTGATATCTTCAATAATAATTGAAGAATCAGATTTTAATCTGGGCAAAGCCTAAGTGATACTGAATTCATTGTCTTAGTTTAGCAATGGGGAGGCTCAGGCTCAGAGAGGGCGGGGGATTTGTCTGTTGTGACTCAACAGTAACGGTAGCTGAGGTGGACGAGAACCCAGGACCCTGACTCACAGTCCAGTTTCTTTTCCAACATAACACATGGAGGAGATTGGGTGGTGTAGAAAACATTGAGTAGGGTGAAGGAGCAAATCCCAGACTCAGCTGGGAGGCCGTGGAATGTCCCATTGGCGGGGCATGAGTCCAGCAGGACTGGGGGAGAAGGTTTGCCGTTACGTTGGGCGCAGTGGGAGAAGAGGGAGACAAAGCCTGAGATGGGGGACTCTAGATCCCAGGCAAGCGGGAGTGCCCACCCTTCCCCCGACTGTCATCCCCTGCTGATGTTTCAGAATGAAGGATGCGGCATTGAAGGTGCTTTATCTGCATGATAACCAGCTTCTAGCCGGAGGGCTGCATACAGGGAAGGTCATGAAAGGTTGGTGGCAAACCCTACTTTCCTAGGTCTCTACGCTGTCTGAGAGGAGGGGACCTGAACAGTCATGCAAATGGCACAGGCCTACAGACCCTGGGCCTGAAACTGTAAATGGGGCATCATAAAACCAGGCTCTGAGCAAGGACAAATTAAATACTACACCTTCCATCAAAGGGAGGACCCCAGTGCCCCTGGAACCTCTGTGCAGAGGTGGGATTGTTTTCCTAGATGAATGCTTTGTCATTCCCTCCTAGGTGAGCTTGGCTCAAACATTCCTCTTCCTGGGAGCCAGTGCTGAGGAGAGAACTAAAGCAGGCTCTCTGTGCCTTTATTCCCATTTGGGACCCAGTTTCTATTCCCTTACCTTGAGTCCCTCCGCCTTCGGGATCCTCAGTCACTCAGAGTGGTCCGACCCAGAGAGGAGGTGGCACCATCTGGCCTCGTGCTTACCCATTCTGCCTCCTCGCAACCAAACAGGTCCTTCTCTCTAAAACAGCACACATCTGCCCACCTAGGATACCCTTTTCAGGCGCTAGGGCCAGGCAGATCCCTCTGTGAGGATGCGTGTATGTGCACGTGTATGCATGTATGCAAGTGAGTGCATATGTGTGTGTGTGCACATGTGTGAGTGCATTGTGCATGCACGTGTGCACATGTGCGTGTGTGTGTGGTGTGGTGGGGGTGTGGTACAGAGAGGAATGAAAGATGTTCAAATAACTCTAATGGGAGGCTTATCTTGACAAGCTTCAGAAAAGAGGCTGGAGAGTTGAGGGGCATTAAAGAAGTTCCAACTCCCTAGGGAGTTAGAAAAAGCCCTGAAGGTTTGCCCCTGGGAGTGGGAGGTGGTACAATGTGCTTATGTGCCTTGACATCCACTGGACCAACTGGCACCAGTGGGACCACCTTTCCCTTCATGAAAATCACCAAGAGGCTTCCCTTCTGCCCAGCCTGGGGACAGGACATCTCACATAGGTCCTGCTCCCCAAAGTCCAGGACTTAGGGAGAGGGAGGGAAAGGCCACCAAGGCCCCTGCATCTGGCCTCCCTCCTGTAGGCGAGGAGATCAGCGTTGTACCCAATCGGTTTCTGGATGCCAAGCTCTCTCCAGTCATCCTGGGCGTCCAGGGAGGGAGCCAGTGCCTGTCGTGTGGGACGGAGCAGGAACCGACTCTGAAACTAGAGGTGAGTCCTTTTGGGCATCCTCACCATCTGGCAACTAAACCAACAGACGTTGAACTCACTGAGACCTTGCAACCTGCAACCCCTCGGGATGTCCTTGCAGGGTTTTGTTGATGGAAGCTCTGCCTCCACGTGCCCTCAGCCCAGCCTCCTCACTGTCCCCACTTCTGCCCCTCACCACCATGCCCCTCTGCTCGCAGCCAGTGAACATCATGGAGCTCTACCTTGGTGCCAAAGAATATAAGAGTTTCACCTTCTACCGGCGCGACACTGGACTCACCTCCAGCTTCGAATCGGCTGCCTACCCGGGCTGGTTCCTCTGCACCGTGCCCGAAGCAGACCAGCCTCTTAGACTCACTCAGCTCCCCGACGATGCCAGTGGGGATGACCCCATCACAGACTTCTACTTCCAGCAGTGTGACTAGGACAACGTGTCCCTGAGAACTCGGTGGGCAGGGCCAGCTCTGGCAGGGGCAGGGGAGTGGAGGATGAGACCCAGGGCAATCACCCTCCCCTGCTCTCAGGGCCCCCACCTCTCATTGGTTAGGCACACGGCCCCCCTTCCTTCACCTGGTTCCCAGTTTGGGTAAATTCTTCTGAGACTTGGGGCTCAGCCCACGGTTTCCCTCCTTGTTGGGTGCTGCTACTGTTGTGGAACCTTACAAAAACCACGTGAGATAAACTGGGAGTCACATAAAAAGATTCCTAAGGGATCAGAATAGGGAGATCCTTCATCCTTGGTGGTAACTTATCGCATGCTCTGAGCCCCACAGGCCAGCCCATACCCAGTTGAGCCTATCAGGGCCACCAGCTGCCCAGAGGAGGTCCTATCATTCACCACTGTGCGGGAGAGGGAGGGTCGTCATAGAGTCAGGGACCCAAGGTCCAGCCCCCTCCCTCTTCCCTTTAATTTGGCTGCCATCATATGCTGCCTTTCCATCTCTACCCTCATGCTCTAGCCACAGGCAGGGGAGGATGTTGTTATCCGAGGACATGGCTGCAGCTCAGAAGACCAAAGATGGGCAGGGCATGTCACACCTTTTGAAACCCAAGGTCAATTAAAATCCAAGATACTGGTGTCTATTCACCTGAAAAGATGCTCGTGACATATTAAGTAAGGAGAGCAAGATACAAAGTAGCGTATCTTGTCATTCCATTTTAATTTAAAAAAATACTTATTTCTATATTTCTGCATAGAAAAAAGTCTGAAAGAGATTTTACTTCAATTTTAGCAATGTCAGGGTGGTGGTGTTATAGGTGATTTTCCTTTTTGTTCTTTTTATTTGTCTGTATTTTCTAATTGTTTTACAATGAAGATGGATCACTTGTATAATAATAAGAAAAATTAATCTCGAGGTAAACGGAGCAGATATTATTTCTGATCATTCTCAGCTTCCACTTCCCCTGAGTGAAATGCAAATTGAATCGAGCTCTGCTGCTTTGGTGGGTAGAATCAGAACACGGATCTCAGCGAAGCTGGGAAGGAGGACGTGATGGGTTAGTGTGGCCGGAATCTCCTAGGGAAGGAATTTACAAAAAGAAAAATCCTGAAGTGGTCACAGCCCCCTGAGATTCCAAGATATGGGATCCAGGCTCCAAAGGGGCTCCTTTGCAGGTTGAATAGTGTTCTACCCAAATACATGTCCTTCCAGGAACCTCAGACTGTGGCCTTATTTGGAGATATAGTCTTTGCAGATGCAGTTAATTAAGAGCTCAAGCTGTATTAGGGTGACTCGAAATCCAATATGTCTGATATCCTTGTAAGAAGAGGTGAGGACAGACAGAGACACAGAGGAGACCCAGGGAAGAGGGCCATATGAAGATGGAGGCAGAGACTGGAGTTGTGCTGCAGTGAGGCAAGGAATGCCAACAACTGAGGCAACCACAGAAGCTAGAAAGAGGCAAGGAAGAACTCCCCAGAGCCTTTGGAGGGAGTATGGTCTTCAAATCTCCTGAGCTATGAGAGAACAAATTTCTGTTGTTTGAAACCACCAAGTTTGTGGTAATTGGTTACGGCAGCCCTGGGAAATTAATAGAGCTGCCGATGATCCTGTCTCTTGGTATTCACAGCCTGAACCACATTGTGCCAGAGTTGTCCCTATGACCAATATTCCAGCAGTAATGTTATGGCACTCCTGGGATCAGGTTATAAAAGACACTGCAGCTTCTACCTTGGTCTCTCTCTGTTTCTTTGCTCACTTGGTCTGGGGCAAGCCACCTGCTGTGTTGCTGTGTTGTGAACAGCCCAACAGAGAGAGCTGTGAGGTGAAAAATGAAGCCTCCTGGCAACTGCCATGCGAGTGAGCTTTGATGCAGCTCCACCAGCCCCACTCGGGCCTTCAGAGGGTGCCGCTCTGGCCCAGAGCTGGACTGCAACCTGAGGCGAGACTCTGGCGTGGGGACCACCAAGCTGAGCTGCTCCAGATTCCCAACCCTCGGGAACTTGTCAGATAATAAATGTTTGGTGCTGTAAGTTGCTAAGTTTTGAAGTCACTTTTTACACAGCAATAGGTAAATAATATACATGGAAAGAGAAATGAATGTATTTATTTTATTATAATTGCAATTTTCTCCAATATTTTCATTTTCCTTCTCAAAATGAGCATCAGCCCTTTTATTTCCCCAAATATTCTACTTAAAAGGTGGTCATACTAAATCTGTTGAATATTCTCTGTTACTGCAAGGTTTAGACCTTCCTTGACTACCTTTGCACTTCCAGTCGTACTTGCCAGGGACCGTGACTCCAGTGTCCCTAGGGAAACCCTGGGGGATGAGAGCAGAAGCCAGAGGAGGGCCCAAGTCTGAGTCCCAGGAATTCCCACTGCACCTCACCAGTCAGACCAGCCTGGCAGGTTCAGATTCTGCTGAGGGACCAGCAAGGGGGCGGCCAGGCCCAAAGGGTTTGCCTCCATGGACCTCAGTGGCTCCTGATGTCCTTGGGCAGCCGGCAGCCCAGGGCTGCCAAGAACATAGGCTCCAGGTACCGGGCTGTGCTTCTGCAGACCCAGTTCACACTCTCTCTTTGCCCACAGGCCCAGCCATAGTCTCATATTGTCACCTCCTCCGATAAGCCTTTGCTGAGTTGAGATCCCTGGTCATCTTCTGTGACAATGCTTTGTGCACACCTCTATGCTAACTTCCCCTCATTGTAATTGACTTGGTGTCTGCGGCCCCTAAAATGACGTCAAGGTCAAGGCTATATCCGTTTGTTTCCAAGCACCTTGAACAACGTTTGGCAAACAATTGGAGTGCAGTGAGTGTAGAATGTGGAAACTATTTCTCCACCTGGAATATTCTTTCTCTCTTCTCCACCCATCTAAATGGGCCCATCCTTCAGGGAGTAGCTGAAATCCCACCTCATTCCTGAAGCTTTCTCCAGCCTGAAATGGTTACTTCATCATTTGTTGGATGGTAGAATTTAAAAGGGCTTTAGCAGGGATGAGCTGACACAAGTCAATTGGAAAAGGAGGAACGTGAAATGCTACCTTTAGGAATGGATGGGCTGGGGGACCCTGGCATCATGACTGTTCAAGTGAACAGATCTTGTGGCTTTAGATTTCTGCAATTTCAATATAAGCTCCCAACCTAGGCCTGTATTTACAGAGGTGCATGCCTGCATCAGGTTGAGTTGGTGCCCATTGCAGGTATTGAGGACTAATAGTTTGTCCTGAAGAGGAGAAACGGTCCCAAGATCAAGTCATAAAGGCAGAGGCTAAGGAGCTGAGGGTCTTTGCCTGGAAGAAGCAATACACAGAGAGCCCCCTTCAAGCACTCAAAGGCATGCCTAGTAGAATATACTTGTTCTGTGTAATTCCAGGAAGCACAAGCACGGATGAGTGGAAATTGTGCAGAGGCTGTTCTTCCTGTGTGACCCCCAAATTTTACCCATAAAGAGCACATACACTGTTAGGGTTTCTTCAAGTGGCTGAGAGGCCCTCGATTCTGGAAGTGTTGAAGCAAAGCCTGATTAACCTACTTCTCAGGGATGCAATAGCATGAATTTCTCCGTCTGAAGGGAGACTACAATGTCATGTCTAAGGCCCTTTCAATTTGCGGAATTTATCTTTTTACTCTCGGAGATTCTCTGCCTCTCTTGTCTCCAGTATGCCCTTGGCCTTCCGATTCGAGAGTCTGGTCTTCTTGATTGTCTTTTCAATTGTTTGTAACTTAGCTCCCCAGCTGGACTGTAAAGCTACTTAACAACAGGGACCATGTTTTGGATGTCTTTGTCACATAGCGTGTAAATGCTCGGTAAACACTCGTTGATTGCCTGGCATAATACCCCATGCTTTGGTTCTTTCTTTGGTGGGATAAGAGATTGGGAGAGGGGATGAAGAATGACTAATGGCCTTAGCAAACAGAAATCTGGTCTCGTCCCTGCCCACCTTTTCTTATTTCTCACTTTTCAGGCAACTGAGTTTTGGACTGACCTCTCCCACTTCCTCGCCAAGTCCTTTGTGGAAATTTGCAAATGACCTAAGAGGGAGAATTACAATAAGGCTCTTGGTCCCTAGAGAACACTATGCCCAAGCTTCTCTGCCCCATGTGAGTGGATGGATGGACGGATGGATGGACGGATGGATGGGGAGATGGATGGACTGAGTTGAGTAATGTCAATGAGAGGCCTGAGTGTTCTTTACTCCTGCCCTGCTGACACTGTGTCGTGTGCCCTAGTGGTCCAGGGCACATGGCACCTGCCCAGTCCCGGGATGGATCTAAGGTCAACGTCCTCTGTAGACGGATTTCCTTAGACACTCTGTCTCGTCAAGCTGATACCAGCTAATAGAAGGTGTTGTAAAGCAGAGACTTCCCTTTCATCTTTCCAAACAGGGCCACACTCACAGTGCTGACAGCCCTGCTCTCACTTTGCCTCACTGGCTGCAGCCTGGCTTCAGGCATCAGAGGTTGATCTGTCCTTAGGCCCCTCAGACACACTCACTCTTGCCTCTTCCACCTCTCTAAGCCTAGAATGGAGCCCCATGGGCCACCAAAGGGATGGTGATATGAAGACGTCTGACCCCAGCACTGTTTATCTGGCGGCCAAAGCCTCCAATAACAATGTCAATGACAGTAGCTATGAGCAGGGGCCCCGAGTCCAGCTTCTGCCAAGGCTTTATGAGTGACTCTCTCCCCCTCCAGCAAACACTCATTAATGCCCCCACCTTCTTATTATCCATACTGTGCTGAAGACATTGTGAAATCCCTAGGCTCTTCTTTCCCATTCTGGAGCCAATTATAAAGATTGCTGCAGGCCTGACCCACCCTGATGGGACAGTATAAACTCAGTGTACATGCCCTGGAGAAATCAGTCACAGGTTCCAGGCACCCAGGATCTGCAGGTCAGTGGCGGACAGGCCATATTCTCTCTCTCTTTCTCTGTTTTCTTCTCCCTTCTGTTAATATCTCTGATATGCCCCCTCCCTTAACTCCTCCTAGCAAGCTCTCTAGATAACAAGGTATCCCCCCCACAGAACACTGTGGGATGCTAAATAAGTCTAGGGGCACATAGAAGAATTTGAAGAGAAGGTACAAGTTAAGTCAAGTTAAGATTTTTAAATATTTAGCGTCATAGATTTTGGAAAGTAATTTCAAAGAAATCATCCAGGCCAGTGGTATTCAACAGTGTTTGGTGAGACTTGGGGGTTCTTTAGATATGTCCCAGTACCTGCGTCAGTGGTCCAGGAAGATGCTAGCAGGGTTCTAGTTTCTTCATCACTTCCTCATTCAACAAAAGTAGGTCCCTTTTATCCATTTTACTTTCATTAGGTTTCTATGGAAAATTTCATTGTGAAACTTAGCTTTGAAAAATACTAACCTTGCCCAGCCTCTCATTCCAGTGATAACAAATTGGATGCCCAGGGACAAAAGGGGACTTTCCAAGATGGCAAGATAAGCTGGTAGCAGAGCTGGGTCTGGAATGCAGCCTTGCCATTCAAACCTGCTGGGTATGTTTCTATGTCCTACGTGCAAGAACCAAGTGAAACACACTCATCAAGTAAATCGGGGCCAGATGGTGGTGAAATGGGCAGCCACTGTAGATTCTAGAGGTGGGCAGGGATGCAGCAAAAGCAGTATGTAGAATGTGAGTCCAGGCACATACATAGGTTGGGCTGGATTGAAGGTAGAAAAACCAGGAATACGGGCACAGGTCTAATGTCTATTATGAAAACTTATATTTTAAAGAATTATCTATTAGAACTTGTTGATAAATCAAACATAAAGTCAGGAGAAATGGGAGAGACTGTCAATGACTCAGGTTTTAAATCTCACTGACTAGAGGAAGATTATGGCAGTGAGAGAAATGAAGTTGGGAGGGATGAATGGGCAAGGAAGAGAAGATTAATTTGACCTTGGGTATATCTGGTTGAGTGTGAGGGCAGGATGTCCAAAGAAGGATGTATTGTAGACTGCTGGAGAGAAAGTAGGATGTTCAGTCTGGACTTGGGAGGCATTAGACCAAAAAGATCACTGCAGCGGCAGAAATGGATGAATTGCAACATAAGAGAGAGAAGTTCTTAGGACTTTGACTTGTGATTTCCAGCCTCAGGGATGCCCCCATAAGGAAGGGAGAATCTGCAATGGACCTAAGAAGGGGAAAATGGATAGGTGTGAAGGAAGTTGATCAATGTCAAGTGTTCTGAAGTAGGGGCAGCCAAATATCAGAGGAATCAAGAGAGTCTTTCGATTTAGCTCCACAGAAGTTAATTCCAGGCTTGGAGAGAGCAGATTCCCTATAGATAATGTGTAGGAGAACCAGGAGGCAGTAGGGGGTGTGATGTGCAAAGGAACGTGGAGAAAGCCCAGGGCTACTTGGTGGTGTTTGATCCAGGACAGGTGCATTGAAGAGGTCTGAGGCAGCCAGAGATGGTGTCCAAGGAGGAGTATAGGCCAAAGTCCAGTGAAAGGTCACCTGGGGACAAGAGGGAAGGGAAAGCTTTGGGTATGGAATGTATGGTGCATTGGGAGGGACCATGGCAGATGCTCAGCACCAGAACCCCAGGCTCTATCATGGACTAGAAGCTGGCTTCTCACTCCTACTCACTCCCTCATGATCTAGTCAGACCTCAGGCAGGGGGTCCCTGACATGGGTGTCTTTAGGAGAGATATTGGCATTTGGGGTTGCATCAGGACAGGAGTCTTCACGGGCCCCAGAGAATCCCGCTGTACTGGACCAGCACTCAATTTCTGCTGGCTCTTTGAATGGACCCTGACCAAGAGTGCAAGTCATCAGCCTGCCTGTCCACAGGGTCCCTCCAATCAGTCTGCCCTGGCCAGATCTTGGCACACCTACCAGGCTGCCTGTAGTTCTGGTGCTACAACCGAAGGAGCCCCAATTGTTTGACGGAGAGAGAGCACGGCATCAAGTAGGCTTGCACTGAGGCCAGGCTTCTGTCGGACTCTGTGGGCTGAGGGATAAGCTGGTCCTTTGCTACTCAAAGTGTGGCCAGGGACCAGCAGCATTAACATCACTTG